CTGTGGTACATAATCATTCATTTAAGCTCTTGTAAAAATTAAAGTCTGTGCCAAACCAGATAGCTGTATCCCAGATGTTTCTTAGTAGATCACTGTCCCTGGTAGAATTTGAGATTTTCAAGTGGAGACACAAAGTTATTATCCCTAAGACATGTAGGCATCAATCCCAGTCTAGACTTGGTGATGGTAGAAGGACACAACCCTGATTTACCCCACATTCCACTCAGACGCTTTCATTCCTAATGTATCATGTATGACAATGTTTCTTTGCTATAAAGGGTTTGCATTTCAATGCATTGAATAAATAGCTGTTCTCATCAGGCTGAGCCTGGCCCTGCCCTGCCCTGAGAATGGCAAAATCGATCTTGTGAGCACATTAGATGAGATAAAGCCTTGGTGGATTTGATCCATGTCTTAGTATCAGGCCAACTAGAGCAGTGTCATGGGTAAGGTTGTCTGTCTTATTGAACTCAGGAAATCTTACATTTCTGGGGCTTCACACAGTTTCCTGTATTTCTCATCTTCGCCTTTTTTGATAGAATCTAAGGCTTACACTTTCGTGAGTTCCAGCTACTATAACAAAATACTCTAGACTGGATGGCTTATAAACAGCACAAATTTCTTTCTCAAAATTCTGGAGACTGGAAGTCTGAGATCAGGGGGTGATCTCATAATGGGGTGAGGGCCCCCCTTTAAGGTTGGAGATGGCCAACTTCTTGTGTCCTCATTTGGTGGAATGGGTTAGAGAGATTGCTGGGTCTCTCAGAGGAGTTCTTTTATTTTAATTGAAGTACAGTTGATCTCTGAATCTCTTTTTATAAGATAAAGGCACTGTTCTCATTCATGAAGTCTTTACCTCATGACCTATCGCCTTCCGAAGTTCCCACCTCCTCGTCGAATCACATTTGGGGGTTAGGATATCAACATCTGAATCTGGGGGAATACAGATGTTCAGACCAGAGTAGCTTAGTTCCCAGTATGTTCCTGGCAGGTTGGTAGAGCCGTAGTAGAGCTAGTAAGTGACTGTGCAAGAGGAAGAAGAGGAAAGCGTTGCTTATTTAAGAACAGCAGCAGCATGAACTAGAAGGTCAGACGTTTCAGCGAAAACAGATTCAGAGGGACACAGCTGCTCTAAAATGGTGGGCGGTAGGTCCTCTGGATCCATGCAATGACGACCTCCTGCCCACGGAACTAGAGTAAAATTGGCTGGATATGGAGGTACTTGCCTTCTTCAGAGCATTATGATCAATCAGGCCAGAAGTACAAAGAGGAGGTAGTAGACTTTGATCTCTTGTGTCTTGTAATGTGAACAACAGTAGAAGAGTGAACAGATCAGAGGGAATCTTTCCCAGCGTGGGTGCTGACTGATCACTGTCATGGTGTAGCCCCATTTTGTCAAAGACAGACGCTAGTAACCATAGAAAATCCTGTCCTCACTCTCCTAAAGTTTCCCCTTCTTTCTACTGTTGGCATTTAAGTAGGTTAATGGGACACATTAAAAAAAATTGTGGAAGCAGGGAGCAATGTCTTCTTAGATTATTGAAGCAGAGGGAAGGAGGTAGGGTATAAAAAATTTAGTCCTGAGAGAGCAGTATTTCAGAGGAGATGAAGATATATAAAAAATACAAAAGGTGCTGCTTAATGGCAAAAGTCAAAAGTCAAGACTGTAGCATTTACGTTAGCTATATATGGAGGGTTTTATATATTTTATTCTGAAATACAGACTTATGCTTTTGGTTGAGCTGTGGCAACCCACCTGTGCCTACAGAGCTTGTCAGGCAGAGAGCCCATGTCCCAGGGGTGATGGTCCACGAAGAGAGCGCCACGGAGCACACGGAGCTCAGTGCTTTGGAGGCCCCCATTGCGTGAGGTAGGATTGGGCTCCACCAGTCACACTGCTTGGTGCCTCTGACTCAAAAAAATTAAAGGAGGGTGATGTTAGGGCTCTTTGGGGTATTTGTGGGTTGTTTTTTTTTTTTTTAAGATTTTATTTATTTGACAGAGAGCAGGAACATAAGCAGGATGAGTGAGAGAGGGAAATCAGGCTTCCTGCTGAGCAGGGAGCCCATGCGGGGCTTGATTCCAGAACCCTGGAATCATGACCTGAGCGGAAGGCAGATGCTTAAGGACTGAGCCACCCAGGTGCCCCAGGGTATTTGTGTTTTATTAGCCATTAGAAGATGATCGGAAGGGATTACTCATTCACAAATGTTCCAGAATCTTTTTTTTTTTTTTTTTTTTTGAGAGCATGAGTATGGGCTTGCACGTGGTAGACCCTGAGATCATGACCTGAGCTGAAACCAAGAGTCAGAGGCTTAACTGACTGAGCTACGCAGGCACCCCTATAAATCAATAATTTGAAATAAGACATTTGCCACATGTTCTACAAGTAAGAAACCAGGATACCATGAGAGAAAACAACAACCGAGGTGCATAATATAGATTTGGTGTGCGGTGGGACGGGCACGGGGTCAGGGACTTTCTTCCTTGAGGAACTGACCTTAAACTGAGACCCAGAACCAGGAGCAGGACTCAGGTAGGCTGGAGAGGAGGGAACCTGGGTAGAGTAAATCGCATTTACAGTAAACCGTGTTAGGAGCCACGAGAGCTTTTCCTGACAGTGCTTGGGTTTCCCACTGGTTTCTGACCAACTGGGAAAAGGCTGCTCTTCTTATGGGTACTGACATTCTCAAAGCTTGTTTGAAGAAGGTAAGTGCAGGAGCTGTCAGGGGCTGACTTGGAAACCCCACTGTAGAAGTTCAGAAAAACGTTTAACTGGGGAGGAGTTTCTCAGTCTTCAATTGCGGCTTTTTTTTTTTTTTTTTTTTAAAGATTTTATTTATTCATTTGACAGATAGAGATCACAAGCAGGCAGAGAGGCAGGCAGAGAGAGAGAGAGGAGGAAGCAGGCTCCCTGCGGAGCAGAGAGCCCGACGTGGGGCTCGATCCCAGGACCCTGGGATCATGACCTGAGCTGAAGGCAGAGGCTTTAACCCGCTGAGCCACCCAGGTGCCCCTTCATTAGTGGCTTTTTGATAAGCACAAAAAAAGGGGGGATATAGAAGCATGCAGATATTTATGTTTGAAAATATGAGATAGTCTTTGTCCCCTAAGGTCAGCGGCCTGAGAAACTGAATATTTCCAGGATTGGACCATTTTTGTTTTTGTAGAGACTTCTTTTCCTGAGATTTTAGTTTCCCGAAGAAAGTGCAGAACTTTATCCAGATGTTTGCACAAGTAGCTGAATAACCGATGACAATGGCATGCCGTTCTTTCAGTGGGCTATACTTCTACAGTTATGTGATTCGGTTGGTTTATACTAAGTCGTAAATCTGACTAAAACACTGAAAAAGAATTGTCACCGCATCATGATCGCTGTTGAGAAGTCAGCGCCAAGTCCACATTTCTGCCCTAAGCAGGTGTCCTAGAGTCTTTAAACCATTTGGAGTGTGGTTTATAATGACTACTTATTCTCAAGACTTTTTATGAAATAATATGAATGTATGGCAGTCATATTTATGAATATAAGCCCTACCACATTTATCAGCAATAAGAAAGATTTCAGATGAACTTGGTTCTAGAAGATAGATCTGTCTCCTATCTTGGATCTTGCGCCAGCTACTTGAAATTGAATTGATGGGTGGAGTGTAGATGATTTGTGTGTCCCACTTATCTGGTATGCACAGAACTTTCCTCAGTCCAGTCCCCTTGGGACCCCTAGGGACAGGCACCCCTGCAGAGCGGAAATGCAAATGGAGGACAAGCCCTTGGGGAGGGTCAACTTTGCACTGATGTTCAGCCTTTGCAAGGCTGTCATTCACCTTTCTGGAGGTGATCCTATCACTGAAGAATATTAGTTCTCCTGTTTTCATGCTGTTTTCTTCCTGTTGCATGGCGACAGCTCTGTGGTCTTGCACAACCCCAGACATGCTCCCACAGAGGCCCATGGTGTCAGTGCGTGCTGCCTGGGGTCCCCTAGATTGGTGTGTCGTCTTTGGACAAACCATGTAACAGCTTCCTAATCTGCAAACCAGGGATGACGATAGTGCCAGTGGTGTGCTGGGGCTGGCTCGCACTGCCTTGTGAGAGCGAGTGCATGTGTCTCTTTCCAGAAAAGTCTTATGCGAAGCTTGCAGATCGGCCATAGTAGGAGCATTGACATCATCAGCAAAGACTGCAAAGCACATGCTCAGGGGAAGCAGGTGGGAGAGCAAGAGGAAGGAGCCCACTGTTAAACCTTTCCCAGCACAGCCCTGAGCAGTTCAGGCCTCACTGAGTCTTATGAACATAATTAAGATTATACCCACAATATGCCTCATTAGAGAAGAAAAGTACATAGTGCTTAATTCCTTATTCTTTCCCCCTTCATTTCCTCCTGTATCCCAAGACAGGTCTTCATGAGCCTTTCAGACTTCAGACCTACTCACCATGCTTTGATTTCTTAGTTGTTTGAAGGCATTTGTTACTTTACCCTAATTTCAGCCCTGGAGGAAAGCATGTACATATCCTAGACAAGTTGCTGATTTTCTGAGGAAGAGATGAACACAGAAAGGTTGAGCGATTAATCCAAACTTCCCCTGCTCTTGGTGAGTGGCTGTAGAAGAGAGTGGCCGTCCCAACCGAGGCGTCCAACTCGCGGCTCTGCCATGTTGTTACCCCTGACGCCATGCCACCTGCCTGTGCTGACGTAATTCTTCCATTACACAAAAAAGTTTTAGTGACATGACTATAAATAAATGAAAAAAGCTAGCATTTAACTCCCTGAAATAAAACTCTTTACTTGTAATCCACATACACGTATTTCACTATGTATAACAGTCACGTAACTCTTGTTTTGCATTTTTTTTCCACTTAACATCATATATCTTGATTCACATTGACTTTAAATATTATTAATGGCATAATTTAATTTTTAGCTTTCAGACAGAGTTCTGGCTTGAAGAGAAAGAACAGCGTGCTAACCACAGAAGAAGAATTGATGCTAAGATTTTAACTGCACTTCCGAAAGGTGAGTCTTTCTCTAAATGGTTGACCAGTGTCCCGGGCACATAAGTATTGTGTCACCTGATTTTCTCTGAGGGGAATTCATTCCGAAGCTCCAGTGTATACCCTCCTTTGTGTTCCTTTCTGCCTGTTGCAAGAATTAACCTTAATGAAGGTACCTCTCTTCTTACGTGTTTCATCTGCACCTTTCTCCGTGTCCTTTCTTGTTCATTTTAGCCGTCTTCGGGAATTCCCTGGAGGCCGGGAGGGGAGGGTGACAGAGAGAGCCAGCATAGAATCCACCCACGTCATCTCTCCTACCTCTCACCTTCTCTAGGGGCAGTGAGTGTTGTTCATAAGCCCTTATCTACTCCGTCCACTCTGTCCACTCCCTCTGCCTCTTGGTGCTTTGCTGGTGCCTTTGCACTGAGTATCTTAGAGCTCCCTGCCAGGCAGCACACTGGGTTTCCAGGACATCCCATACCTCCCACATCTTTTTCCCCAGGTAGGCACTCACGTGTTCTGTGAATTCGTATTTTCATTGGTAAAGATACAAGCGCAGTAAAACATCGCAGCAGCCATGAGCCCACCACTCCCTGTGTTTTGCCTGAGAAATGATGTAAACGTTAACCAGATCTTTGTGTCCCCCAACTCTAACACTGGAAGAGGGGCATACCAGCTCTCAAACTGCTTTCATGCCAAATCCACTGTGTAACCCTTACTTCAGAAGAAACAGGTTTTGGTGGAAGGTCAGATTTTTTTTTTTCTATTTTGTCCTCTGAAAGAAAAAAACAAACAAACTTGAGATCAAACCCAAAAGAGATGAGACCAGAAAAAATATTCTTTTAATAGAAACTAAATCTAGTTTAAAAGTCCCAGTGATACATGGGTGTGCAGCCTGAGGAATTGAATAGGTGATGTGCTTAGACATAGTCTGACGAGGATGGGTATTTGAAGCACCCCAGAGATTTGGCCCTGGGGAGACAATTTAAACAGGGACATTTTGCAATTTTCAAGCACTTAGAAAACTGTCAACTGAAATACAGACTTACTCCGTGTTGTCCCGGAGGCCCCAGATGAGAATACTGTGCTGAATTACACAGAAGTAGATGAGATTTCGTAGGAGAGAGACCGTTCTGATAGTTCATGGGACCTGTGGATTATATGGGCTGCATCGCCATCTCATTCACTCCCATTGGCTGTTCAAGGAAGGTCATGGGCTTCCATGAGAAGGAGACATGCTCGGGTTCCCACCTGGATGGCGTGACATGGAAAAAGCCTTCTGATTTTTTAGACTCTTTGTGAAAGACAAAGCAGCTCTGGTGAATCTGAGCCAAGCTTACAGTCTGGGAAGATGGTCCAAGCAAAGTTCAAGGGTGAACAGATTGATTTGAGCAGGAACTTAGAAGATTGGACTGATTAGGCAAAGTTCTGTAGCAAAAGCTGCTTCACTCATCCTCTTTGTCTGCCGTGGTCCTTTCCTTGATGAGCAACAGTACGTGCAATATTAGGGTCAGAAAAATTAGAAACAGTATATGAGATGCAAGGTTCCTTTCAGGTTCAACAGCTTGTAACTCTGTATGTGCCGAAATTTAAGAACACGTTAAGTTGATTAACCAGTTTCATTAGAAAATGTATCATAGGGGCTCCTGGGTGGCTCAGCCAATTTAAGCGGCTGCCTTTGGCTCAGGTCATGATCCTGGGGTCCTGGGATTGAGACCCACATCGGGCTCCCCACTCAGCAGGGAGCCTGCTTTTCCTTCTCCCTCTGCCTCTTCCCCTGCTTGTGCTCTCTCCCTCCCTCTCTCTCTCTCTCTCAAATAAATAAATAAAATCGTAAAAAAAAAGAAAGAAAAAAATGTACCATAATTGGTGATGAAAATGTACTTTTTCACAAATCAGAGGTAATACCATGTATTAATCAGATTTATGTTTCTAAATTCACAAGATCTTCAAAACCGTGCTTAAAAAGTATCCAAACCCCTCCCCTCCTGAATTTCATGTAAATTCCGCAGAGTCTTATTTTACGTTCTGTACTTCACGAATTCGGGAAAGACCCAAATTTGGAAAGACCCACGTATGACCTCTAATCTCACTTCTCCATCTTAAATATTTTAATGATTCTTTCAGCTCCTGGAGATATAATAGTCAAAGTAGGAGTTGATTACAACCATTTTCATGGCATAGCGTTTTATGTCTGTTTATACATTTATAGAAGTTTCTGGTCATTTAGTGAGGAATTCTTGCTTTTGTGAAATTGAGCATTAAAATGATCATTGACTTTTTCTCTAAGGGGGCTTCCTTTAACTGTGTATCACAGACAAGTTATCCAAGGGTTAAAAATCCTTACCTCTGTAAAGATGATGATATTAAAATAGTTTTTCCACTTACGCATTATGAAATGGACCAAATATATTAGTCTACTTTCTTAATAGCTTTCTTGAAATATATTTCAAGCAATCTATAATTCATCCATCCAAAGTATACAGGTCAGTGGCTTTTAGCATATCCACAGAGCTGTGCACCCATCACCATAGTCTGCTTTGGAACACTGTCCTTATCCCCAAAAAGAAATCCCACACTTCTCAGCCCTCACTGCCCCCCTTAGTCCTCTAGTTTTGTAATCTCTGATTTTATAAGCTGCTTGTCTTTGTATTAGTGGCTGCCATCCAAGTGTGAAAATTAGAGTGCGGGAAGTCCGATCCCTTTTCAGGACTTTCTGGGTCTGGGCTGTGCTCTCAGCTTGTCAAGTGCAGGGTGGGAGGGAGGTGTTCTTGGCAGTCCTCTGCCACTTATATTTCTTTGGAAGATTCTACTGTACTTGGGTTTGGATGCCTGAACTCAACAATAATTTTACCAGAAAGCATGTTTCTCAGGGCTAATTAAAGAAACAGCGTTGCCCAAGAAAACTACCCAGTAGACCACATTATGCTGGGTATTGGCATCATATATTATGATAAAGCATGTTAGGCAAGTTAAATAACTTTGTAAAGTATGATAGCCCTGATGTCATTTGCCTTTCAGTTACCTCAGAAAATGACTGTCTGATTCCCTTCAAAAATAACTAAAGAAATAGACTCATAGAACCTTTGTTGGCACAGAAGCACTGTTTGGAATTACTCAGAGGAGGACAGCAGGCTGAGATAGCAGGTGCAATGAGGAATAATTTAGTATATGTCACAGTTTTAATGTACTTGAAGGCAAAGTAGAAAATTCGTTACAATGGAAGTTAGATCAACAGCACCTATTTCGATCTGTATTATACAATGATTTCTATTACTGTTACCTGAACCATTTATGAGTGGTATGCATTACACCACAGCATACAATCAGCTGAATTATAGCTGTTTAATCCAATTTTGTTTATTTTTTTAAAAATGTTTTATTTATTTATTTGACAGCACGAGCAGGGGGAGTGGCAGAAGGAGAGGGAAAAGTAGGCTCCCCACTGAGCAAGGAGCCCCATGCAGAGCTCGATCCCAGCACCCCGGAATCACGACCGGAGCTGAAGACAGCTGCTTTTAACTGAGCCACCCAGGCGTCTCAGCTTTATCCAATTAAAAAAACATTCTTATGTCCTGTTTTTAGGAAATATACACTGATAAATTTAGAGATAAAGGGATATCGTGCTGCAACTTACTCTTGAATAGCTCAGAAAAATTAGTATGTAGGTGGGCCTGGGTAGCTCAGTCCGTTGAGCATCTGACCCTTGGATTTGGCTCGGGTCATGATCTCAGAGTCATGGGATGGAGCCCCATGGACAGCTCTGCACAGGGTGTGGAGCCTGATTGGGATTCTCTTTCTCTATCTCGGTCCAGCCCCGCCCCCCCACTCGTACTCTCATACTTTCTCTAAAATAAATAAGTCTTTAAAAAATTATATGCACATATGTGTACATGCGTGCATGTGTATACACACATAACACATGTAAATATGCCTATGGAAAAGGATAAAAATAAATGTAGTAAACTGTAAACACGTTATGAAGCATGTGTCGATTTTTCTGTTTAAGTCTGAAATTACGTAATAATAGTAAAGACAAGACTGCTTTTGGTAGATCATGAGCAGTAACAAATTGTATTCAACACTATCTTCCAGACCATAACTTTGGTAGTGCTTTATGAGTGAAAGAATGGAGGACAACATAGATTTCCACAGCTGGGATGACTTCTGTGTTTTCTTAGTATCAGCCCCTTTTATGCTTTATGATAAACCTGACCAAAACTTCCAACCAAAGGGCCTAAGGAGGACTGCAAGAGCCCAGAAGATGTTGTTGTTTTTGTTTTTTTTTTCTCGAAAGGGTCCAAAAATATATGCACACATCAGCAATTCAAATAAAACCTATTCTCTTGCATACAACTGAAGTGTTTTCCCATGGAATAGAGATACTAGAGTAATTATATTGCATGTTTGTTTTCCTCATTTTACTTTTAAATTATAGACTTGGGAAAGGAAGCTTCTCTATGACTTCTTTTGTCTTCCACATCATTTCTTTGCCCTGTAATCTCCTGTCTATAGGAATGAAGCAAATCTTGGTAACTGAAAAATAGATTGGTTACAAAGAATTGACTGAGAGGTAATTTGTTTGTTTAAGGGATTTTTTTTTTCCCCCTAAAAGATTCACTGTGGGTCTCCACTAAGAATGAATAACCTTGCTGGTACATTTATTTATTTAATTTTAAAGTAATCTCTATACCCAGCTTGGGGCCAGAACTCACCATCCCGAGGTCAAGATTCAAGCACCCTACCGACTGAGCCAGCCAGGTGCCCCTAGCTTGCTGATACATTTAAAGTATGGTTTGATTTATGACCTCATTTCACTCCTCAGGAAATAATCTTAGAGGACTATAGGTTAGAGGCTTGAAACGGTTTTGGGTTTGAACCTAGGTGTGGTTGAAAAGAGTGCGGTGCTGGCTGGTGGTGTCTGTCATTGGGATAACCTAGAGCTCCAGCATCCAGGGGTGTGGCTGCTTATTTGCATCTTTGTCCTAGCATCCGTGCTTCTCAATCCAGGACAGTACCATCCCCAGGGGGCTTTGGGAACAAGCGGGAGTATTTTTGCATCATGGCGACTCATGATGAGTAGGCATTTGGTAGGGGAGCCCAGGAGACTTAAGGTCTTGAGGTACAGGACTCCATGAAGGAATTTTTCACTCAACAGGCCATTAGCACCCCGGTGGTGATCTGTGACCTGTTTCAGAGCAGGCTGATGAGTCTGTGACCCTGAGGAGGCGTACGTGAATGGCCGCTAATTGCTCTCAGACTTAAGAGCAGTGAGACTTACAGCCTTGCTAGTGGGCTGACCAGCCTGTTCTCTCCAGAAGAGGGCAGAGGTCACCATGGACAGTAGGGTAACTTAGGTTACCCCCTCCCCCATCTTTTTCCCACTGTCCCAGGCTTCTAAGGGTTCAGTTCCTGGGATGAATGACTGTTCTGACCATCAGCCTATTCCCTTCTCATAGTATCTTAGTTTTTGTAGCATGCTGAAATAGGTAGGTAATGGCAGAAGGAGAAGTATAGTTTTGTTGTGGGTGGGCCATTTGCACAGTCTGCCAATTAGGTGATCGTTTCTTCTAGAAGATGGGAAATAAAGAACATCAGGAAACAACTTAGCTTTTTCACTCTACTGCTGGAATCTTCTTTTTTTTTTTTTATGTCTTTAGTTGTATAATTTCTAAAGGAAAATGTAGAAATTTAACTAGAAGTGATTTCAGTCTCAGTTTAGGATAAAAAATATGCCTTTGTCTAATAGAAGGTATAGGATACTCTGTGCATTGAATTAATGTTTTTATCCTTATCTTATCTTAGTCCATTTGGGTTTCTATACAAAATACCATAGCCTGAGTGGCTTTTAAAGAGCACAGATTTGTTGTTCATAGTTCTGGAGGCTGAATCAGGGACCCCGCATGGTTGGGCTCTGGTGAGAACCCTCTTAGGTCTTGCAGACTGCCAACTTCTCACTGTGTCTCACATGGTGGGAAGGTGGCGCGAGCACCTTGTGGGGCCTCCTCTATAAGGACACTAATCCTACTCCTGAGGGCAGAGCCAATCATCTCCTAAAGGCCCCACCTCCTAATATCATCACTTTGGGGATTAAGACTTCAACATACGAATTTGGGTAGGACATCAACGTGTAGACTGTAGGATAACTAGTTGAAATAATTTGGATGGAGGAAAGATCATGGTGTTACGCTCTGCAAGACCTTATTAAGACACCCTGTTTCTCAGTGATGAGTTTGACGCATAGAGTCTGAAACCTACCTTTCAGAGCACTTGGAATTTGGTTCTAGTAGCTTCTGGCATACTCTTAGGAAAAATATGGCCCCTTGCTCTTCTTGGGGTTTAAATAGTTAATTTATACTCTTTGGTTTATCTCATCCTTGGAAATATTTTCAAAGTATGCACTACCAGTCATTAAAGTTTTATCACCATAATCTTGCTGGAGCTAATTTGATTAACTGGGAAGCTAGTATTAGTCAAGCTTCCTCAACAGGTAACATGGCAGAGGCACTGTTACCATTACACCCTTGTCTTACAAACAGAGCTGTAATTGACAGTACAGAGCAAATATACCTCTGCCTCCAGCTACTCTGATTCCTAGGAAAGCCACCTGAGGGAGAGACTTTTTTGAAGCCAACTATCTTTTTTTTTTTTAAATTCAATTCGCCAACATATAGTACATCATTAATTTTTGGTGTAGTGTTCAATGATTCATTAGTTGTGTGTAACTATCTCAACAGAAGTCAATCTAACTAAAATTGTAAGGCAGCTATCATTTAAAAATAAATAAAAACAAGGCTTGTATCTCCGAAGGCGGTCAAAGGGCAATATAAAAGGGGAGTGTGAGTGTGTGTGTGTGTGTGTGTGTATGTATGTGTGTGTGGTTCTGACTCATTACTAAATATGACAGCTTTAAAAAAAATAGAAATGAAAGCAGTTGAAAGTTGAATTCCAGAATTTAGGGGTACCTGGCTGGCTCAGTCAGTAGAGCATGTGACCCTTGATCTCAAGGCCATGAGTTTGAGCCCCACGTTGGACACAGAGTTTATTTTATTGTTATTATTTTAGAGAGTTGGGGAGAGGAAGGGCAGGGGGAGAGGGAGAATCTTAAGCAGGTTCTATGTCTAGTGTGGAGCCCGACCTAGGGCTGGATCTCACAACCCTGAGATCATGACCTAAGCCGAAGTCAAGAGTGGGACTCTTAGCCAACTGAATCACCCAGGTGGCCCAAGATGTAGAATTTACTTTAAAATAAAAAAGAAAATTGAAAAAGGGACACCTGGGTAGCTCAGTTAAGTGTCAGCCTTCAGCTCAGGTCATGATCCCAGGGTCCTGGGATCGAGTCCCTCATCGGGCTCCCTGCTGGGTGGGGAGCCTGCTTCTTCCTTTGCCTCTGCCTGCTGCTCCCCCTGCTTGTGTTCTCTCTCTCTCTCTCTCTCTGTCAAATAAATAAATAAATCTTAAAAAAAAAAAAGAAAATTAAAAGTATTCCAGCATTCTTGTATGCCTCCATTGAGTTTCTTCTTTGACTCAACCTTTCAAAGTTCCTTGGACCCCCAGGGCTGTTAGTGCCACTTCTCCCTGGTATTCCTGTGTCCTCAACAGGAGCCACTCAGATGAGCCTTTGTGAATTCACGTGGCTGAGGAGGAGGTGAGAAGAGAGACCTTTATTCTCCACCAAATTGGGCCATTTCTCCAAAGAAACAGTTATTTGGCATCTCAGTGATATCTTTGTAGTCAGTATCACATGAGACCCTCCCAGCCTCAGCCAGACATTTGTCTGCCCATCCGGTGTTACCAGGAGAATTAGGGTTGTTAGTTTATCTATCCACCCAAATTAGAGCGGGGAAACAAATGTTAACATTTCCCGGCAGCGAAAGCCAGTAACGGGAGGCTTAGAACTGTGTTAACCTAAACCGCAGTTAATGTCCATAAAGCTCCATTAGGGATGGCTGGAAACACGATCAGCTAGTCACAGATTTTTTTACAGGTTCAATGATAGGGTGAAATAGGAGTGTGGGGAGACATGGGGGTTGTGGCTTGCTGATGGGCGTGTGGGGGCTCTAGTACCCGTCTCTGCTTCTGCCGACATTAGAAGTTTCCCACAGCGGAAAAACTTGGAATACTTTGTTGAACGTAGTAACAAAGACAGATAGTGAGATATCTGATTGCTGGAGAGATCTTGATGTTCAGGCCTTCTCTGACTCCCCTGGATGAAACAGAACTCATGGTTTTACTTCTTAGCGGAGCCTGTGATGTGTGTGTGTGTGTGTGTGTGTGTGTGTGTGTGTGTGTGTGTGTGTGTGTTTTACACATCCCATGTGGCATCTGCCCTTTCACACTAGAAGACAGTCTCTAGGAAAACACTGCATGGGATCTAAGAACAGAAACATAAGTTCAAGAATATATGTTATTGAATATACTATAACATAAGTTATATACATAAGTTCAATAATACATAATATGTAAGTTCAATATTAACTTATATAAGTTCGATAATATAGAAGTTCAATAGATATATGTCTCATGAATGAGTGAATGAACACATGACTACTGAAAACTGGAGTATCTTTTTATTCTTCTGTTTTATTTTAGTTGCAGAATTAAGAAAAATCTTTGAACCAAAGAGGAAAGAATTTTTAGAAATGAAAAGGTAAGAAATTGATTGCACCTCATTAGAAAGTAGAAGAGCTTGGTGAAGCAGTATTCACTTGCCCTGAGAACCGCTTTCCATGGCTCACGAGGCCTGTCTTTGGTGCCCTGCACAGAAAAGAAAGAATTGCCAGGCGCCTCGAAGGAATCGAAACGGACACGCAGCCCATCCTGCTGCAGAGCTGCACGGGCTTAGTGACTCATCGCCTGCTGGAGGAAGACACGCCCAGATACATGCGAGCCACAGACCCGGCCAGCCCCCACACCGGTGAGTGCGCTTGTCTGGTGGCCTGCCGTCACGCAGGCTGCCCGAGATGGTCCATGGTGCCTTCTTTACCCAGTGGCATTGGAAGGAAAATGAGATAGTCCACAAAAGTGAATTGTGGAGGTGTACTTACTTATTAAATACACGTTATTTGTGAAACACTGCAATGACACGTATGTCAACTCTGCCCCATCTCACAGGTGTGGTCCTCTGGGATCATAGCAGGAAGAAATGGTTCCTCTTGGCACACTGTTGGGAAATTGATGACATCATTTCACTCCCGTCTCTTCCTGGGACCCCTAGAGGGCAGGAACAACATCTCCCTCCTGGCCCCCTCAGGGTGCTGGCACAGGACCTGCTGTCCTCTTCTCAGTAAGAGTTCTTAGAGGACTGAATGAGACTCCTTTAAATAGCATGCCCAGGTGCCCAGCACAGAGCCTGGTTGCTCGCAGCAGGGAGCAATTTAAAATGAACCTGGACCTTTGAGTGGTTAGGGTTCTTAGTCTATGTTTTAATGCAACAAACATTCTACTTAAATTATTTTAATGTAAATAATTTACATCTCATTTTAAATGTATTCCATATTTATTTTGTATTAAACCGTATTTCAAATGTGACTTAACTTTTTTGGGTAACTGTCAACGTTAGGAATATGAAATATTCAACTTGGGCTTGGAAGTGGATGACCCATATGGGGCTGTTCTTCTCAACCCGTCCCTGGCTCTGCAGCTCCATGCTGCTGCTTTTTATGGCCAGTGTTTTCTGGTTTCTTCCTTAGGGCTGTTGATCTCACTTTGTGATGTGATCATGTCACTTACCTAGAGTTCCTGATCTTCTATGGCCAGAAAGCTAGAGAAGTAAGATTTTTAAAAATTACTTGAGAATCAAGAATAGAGTATCAAAATTTGTAGCCAGAAATAAACCCTCATGTATGTAAAATGTGAATCTATGTATTTTAAGCATCACATATTCATGAGAAAGGGAAGACTTGTTTAATAAAATGGTGCTGGGAAAATAGGTTATTGTGCAGTAGGGAAGGGGTCATAGACGTCTTCTCACTTACACGAAACACAAAAATAAGTCCCAATTAATCACATGATTAACTTTAAGAAAATAATTAAAAACATGAAAACAGGTGATTATTTCATGCACATTGAATGGGAAAGGACACAGAAACAGCTTGAGAAATCACAAATGACCAGGTCAGTTGACTTGACCACATAACAATTCACATCTGTACTCCAAAGAAAATCTTCCATGTGGATGTCACAGAATATTAAACAAGTTTGAAATACTCATGAATGAGATTAAGGTTCACAGTCTCAAAAAAAAAAAAAAATGCATGCGAACCAATAAAAGTGACACTATGAATCAATAGTATATAGAGCTTAAATAAGCTTCATCAGATATTCCAGAAAAGAAAAAAAGTAATACAAATGATAGTAATTGAAAAATGCACAAATTCTCTTTTTCTAGTAATCAAAGGAAATTTTTAAAATGAACGTTTAATGTTTGCAAGCGAACATATATTGCAGGTTCAAGTATAAATTGACGCGAACTTTATAGAAATCAACTTGACAGTCTAGCAAGTCTCTTAAAATGATACACTTTTTGATAAAGCAATTACACCATTATCTGTTGTGATAGTAGTCAGAAAATCAGACTGATTAAAAGTTAGAAACAATGAAAAAAAATTGGCAACAATGCAAATGCCCAGGAATATGAGAAGGGTTAAATTAGCTGTGGAATGCCTGTTGAATATTACAAAGCTTTAAAGAATGTCTTCAAAAAAAGACTTCCAAATATAAGAAAATGTTTTATACAGAACATCAGTGGTATATAAAACATAAATTATTTTATATGGGAGAAAAGAAATCAATTTTATAAAAGACTAGAAGGAATATATAGAAATGTTTGGCAAATTATCAACTTATTATTTATTATTATATATTAATGATTATTGGTGATTTGGAGTTTTACCTTCCTATGTTTTCAATGTTAGACATTTTCTGTACCAAGCATGTGGCTGCAGTTGGAAAAATGCACTTCTATGCACAGAACAGAGTGCAGTCAATGTGCCTCTTGAACTTGAACTCTGTGTCTTGAACTTGAACTCTTGAGTTCTTGAACTCTGTGTCCCCCGTGTGGTCCCTTGTAGGCCGGTCCAATGAAGAGGAGGACACTTCAGATTCCTCAGTGGAAAAACAGACCCGCTCCAAACTCTGCACTGAAACCTTGGGCGTCCATGCTGACCCCTCCTGTGGTTCAGGTCTCATGGACACCCAGGCTCTGGAGTCCAAAGCGGAGAGAATCGCGCGGTACAAAGCGGAAAGGAGACGGCAGCTGGCCGAGAAATACGGGATAGCACTGGATTCCGAAGCAGACTCGGAATCGCCGTCCCGATACACCAAGTCCAGGAAGGACGCCGATGCTGCTGACAAGAGGGGAGGGAAAGGTGACAGACAGGCCGAGACAGGCAAAGATTCAAGCTCTCTGTACTCCAAGGACTATGCCCTCTCTGGGGGCGATGGGCTTTCGGACACCGAGGTGCTGCTCAATGTGGAAAACCAAAGACGGGGTCAGGAGCCTAGCACCACTGGGCAGGCCCGTGACCTGGCCCCCACGGTTGAGAGTTCCTCATCCTTCCCATTCCCTGGGCGAGACTGTGCCTTCAGTGACGTGCCAAGGTCCCCAAAGCAAATGCACAGCATGTCCCTCTCCTCGCCTCGGCCACCGGCCTCCCCGAGCCACTCTGCTGGTGACCCGCCACTCCCTCCTGAGGCCCGAGTCAGGTAAGCATTGAGCCCGCTCTGAGCTGTGTTCCCATCTTTGCTTTGCCTCCCCTGTGTCAGGGTCTGGGTGTTCTTGGTCTTCTGTGGAGGGTTCCGCTGGTGGCAGAAATAGGTAAGATAGGGTTTTTTAAATTTCTGCAGTATCAAAACAGGTTCTACCCAAGCAAGAAGCTTCAGTTCTTTTTTACAAAAATGATAAGCTGAACAAGTGTCATGGGGACACTTTCATGGGAGTCTCACTTACAGATCCTTCTTTTTATGGGTTTTTTATATGCTTTTAATAATTGTCTTTTCTTTTATGTGTTTCTCTAGAATTATACCCAACCCCCCCCCCTTTTTTTAAGGTTTTATTTGACAGAGAGAGACACAATGAGAGAGGGAACACAAGCAGGGTGGTGGGAGAGGAAGAAGCAGGCTTCCTACCAAGGGGGGGGCCCAATGCCAGGCTCAATCCCAGGACTCTGGGATCATGACCTGAGCCAAAGGCAGACACTTAATGACTGAGCCACCCAGGTGCCCCATTATACCCCAAACTTCTTAGTGATTGTTTTTGTTGCTGTCATGTAAAATCACAAAGCAGAAGGACCACCACTAACACAGTGGAAGGGTCTCAGTTTAGGGTATGACGAATGACTGCAATATAGCTTGAATATAATTGTCTCCTATAGCTATGCAGGTATATCAACATGCTGAGAAACAGCTGTGTAGAAGAGCACCTCATTAAAAAGATCAGTCATTAAGAGTAATTGTCATACACAAAGACAACAGCTCCCATTTGGGAAAATCAGAAAAAGGGTAAAATGAGAAACTCAAATGCCAGAAGAGAATATTTGTTCCTAAACTTAAATTTCCAAATTTAAATTAAATTTGATTTAAGTTCCCAAATTTAAATTAAATTTGATTTAAGTTTCCAAATTTAAATCAAATGGAAATTTCTAAATTTGAGTAAGATTTAAATATTTAAATCGAAGTAAAATCCAAATATTTAAATCTAAGTAAAATTTAAATATTCAAATTTAAGCAAAATTTAAATATTTAAATTCAGGAAGTGTGATGACCATATTCAAAAGGCACTTTACTTAAACATCCTAGTTTAAAGTTTGGGACAATTGTCTAGGTAGACTTTTAGGTGTGTTTTTCGGTCCAAATAGGCACTAGCTTCCCAGGTAAATTGAGGAGAGGCGAGGATCAAGCAAATTTATTTTGAGGGGAAAAAAAAGGGGTAGGGAAGGAAGAAGTATTGGGAAATACTCCTATGTATGTCACACTGGGACAGAGCAGTAAATGTGGTCCTCTCTAAGTGGCAATAATACAGCTAAAACAGATCATTTTACTTATTGATGTTTATGGAGTCAAAGACCTTCCCCTACTTAGTTGACAATTCACACTAAAATATTTAGAGAAGTTAACTTCTTAGAGAAGTCAGTACTGTAAAAGCTGATATGGGGTTCTGAGGGCCTTTCTTTTAGCCTTTGGGCTTATTTATTTATTTGACAGAGAGAGAGAGAGAGAGAGAGAGAGATCATAAGTAGGCAGAGAGGCAGGCAGAGAGAGAGGGGGAAGCAGGCTCCCTGCTGAGCAAAGAGCCCGATGTGGGGCTCCATCCCAGGACCCTGAGATCATGACCTGGGCTGAAGGCAGAGGCTTAACCCACTGAGCCACCCAGACGCCCCATAGCCTTTGGGCTTTTTGAAATTTTGGGACTATGACCTGTTTTCTCTTATTTTGAAATGAAAGTCTGTTGTTTGAGAAACCTTCATTTCGTAGCAGAAAACGTGTTCTTGCCTATCAAAGTGAACTCTTCATATGCTTTGTAAACAGGTCAAAGAAACCTAACGGTCTAATTTAGAAAGGAAATTCGAGATTTACGCTTACATGGGTTTGGAGAAAATTCAGAGCCAAATTTCTGATTGCTATATTATGAAAACTTGGGTTGTTAACGTGGCATCTGGGTTAGTCGTCTAGATCTCATATGATAGATCCTCAGTGAGATCCTCAATCAGTTGTAATAATAACTAAAACTTGGTTGGGTTCTCCAGGTCAAAAGATAGGCTATTTAATTGTTTTGTGTTAAAATCTTAATATTAAAAAAGTCTATAATGTAAAATCTTAAGAGGTATTTCTTTCTCAATTATTTGAAGAGGCATGTTACTTGGAAGTTTCCATAAGCCTAACCCCAGCTTCTTAGCACTTACTTGACTTTCACAAAGGGAAGATTAAAAGGATTAAGAAATTATAAAGGAATTCTTGAGGCACATGCTTTATTTATGTATTTTTCAATTTTAAAAAAAGCACATGCTTTATATATTTTTTTAATTTAAAAAAGGCACATGCTTTTTTAAAAGCCATTCAAGACCTACAATTCTATGGTTTAGAGGCAGAGAAACACAAATCATTTCATATATATATTTTAGAAAAATACTGAGAAATATTTACATTAAAAGGGATGGAACATAATGTATGACAAGTATGACAGTAAAAGATAAACAAAGATACAAGAAACAGCATGGAGGTTCTTCAGAAAGTTACAAATACTCTACAGTCCAGTAATTGCACTACTGGGTATTTACCCCCCAAAATACAAAAACACTAACTCAGAGGAATGTGTATACCCCTACATTTATAGCAGCATTATTTACAATAGCCAGGTTATGGAAGCAGCCCAAGTGTCTGTTGATAGAAGAATGGATAAAGAAAATGTGATTGATCGATCTATCTATCTATCTATGCTATTCAGCCATAAAAAAGGAATGAAATCTTACCATTTGCAACAACATGGATGGAGCTAGGGAGTATAGTGCTAAGTGAAATAAGTCAGAGAAAGGCAAATAACTTATGATTTCACTCATATGTGGAACTTAAAAGAGCAAAGAAAAAAGAGGGGATGGGCAAACCAAGAAACAGTCTCTTTAACTATAGAAATGATAAGAGAACAAACTGATGTTTACCAGAGGGGAGGGCATGGGGGGGATGGGTGAAACAGGTGAAGGAGATTAAGAGTACACTTACCATGATGAGCACTAAGTCATGTATGGAACCGTTGAATCATGGTATTGTATACCTGAAACTAATATAGCACTGTATGTTTTTTAAAAAAGGATTTATTTTGTAATGACTACAGCAATTCATCTTGCAAAGATGGATTTAAATGAATTAATATTCTGCTTAGATATCCTTTCTCTACAGCCCGGATATATGGGTGTCAGAAAACCATTGTTGTTTGATTTCCATTTGGGGGGGAAGAAAGACAAAAAATACTTTGTGAATTATAACAATAACCAAAGAAATCTCAGTGTCTTAATAACCATAAATGAAAATGCTTGTCATCCAGTATGGAAATAAGTAACAGAAACGTTGAGGGAGATGAAGGAGTAACCAAGAAAACCATCTACAGATAATGAAATTATTTTATTCCGCATGTTTTTGTGGATATATCCTAGCATTGAGATGGACTGTTTTTCTCACTGCTGTACTATACTCTCTCATCACCTAGCTCTGCCAAGAATTGGGGCTATTAATGTCTGAATTAACTCATTCCCATGTCATCATTTTATTTTGTGCTCACTAGCAAGAGGCTGGTTTTTTTTTTTATCATTAATTAAATACGAATGTGTCACTCATGAATATACCATCAAAGACTTCCTATGGTATCCTAAAAATCCACCTCTGAGCCAGACATCAAATGCACAGTTTTTGTGTGTGTTCATATACATGAACACATGTACAGATGGAACAGTCATTATACCATTAAGAGCATTCTAAGCTCCTAACAGTCTTGAGGGCTGAACAGTACATTTAAATTTATTAGAATTTGTTAATAAACATTTATATGATTAAGAAAATACATATGTCAGAGGGTCTTTAGCTCAAGAAATCCTGTAGCTGCCTGGGAGTTCAGGAGAACACGTCCTTCTGAAAGAAATGGAGAATATATATATCCAAAGAAGAGAGCCTAAGATACCTCTTAACTCCAACCCCCGAGTTCTGCCAAGCCCCTTCAATTTAGAATTTCAGAATTGTGTTTTCTAGAGAGGGAGTTTTGCTGATAGGAACCATTCTTTGTTAATTAAGCCATTGTGAATTTTAGAATAAAATTCAAATGGATCTGGGGCCTGTGGGTTATTCAGATTTTTAAAAATCTGAGCTGTTGCTAATGGAAATCCTGAATGCAGAATTTGTATTTCTTAGTTAATTAAAAAAAAAAAAGAAAGAAAGAAAAGAAAATGCACCATATTTGTTACTTCTGTGAGTGGAGAATCTCACAACCTGAGTTCCACACCTGCTGTTTTCCTGAGCGTCCATTGTGACTCCCTGATCTCAGTGACCTGTGTATTGGGCAAAGAGGAAAATTTCCCAGTGGTGATCCACTCTAGAAAACGCCCTCTGTATTTCATCTCTCCGCTTCTGTCCCCATCCCTCCAACTCCCACTTAGCAAATTGTATCATTAGAAAAATGATTATGGTATATAGAGCCCTCCCTGAAATTTGAGCTAGGGAGAGCTGCCATTGGTCAGTCAAGCTTCAGACCGGGCTCTGGTGACATCAGACCTGTGGACTGGATCTTCCCGGGTCACCCTCCACAGTGAGCCTTTTTGGAGACATGGTGACAAGCAGACTCAGCCAACTGAGAAGGAAGGGGGTTTAGATTATGTTCTTGTAGTTTGTCTCTGATGATACTTACTCAGCTCCTAGGGAGAGGTTCAGTCTAAAAACTGTCTTCAGAGCCTCAGGCTCATTGTTTTCCTTGTTAAAGGTCTGTTAACCTGCCTGAAAGAAATGTCCACACGGGAGTGATAAGGAGAGAGAAAGCTGCCTCTGGTCATAGGCATTCCTGTCTCAGTCCCTGTTCCCCCAGGGCAGGAGTGTTCCTAACACAGGCTCCGGGTCAGGGCAGGTGTCCTGGAAAACCTAGGTCTCTAAAGAAGAGACTTTCCTGTACACTCACAGATCTTGTAATGGGATGGAACTCTTTTCACCTTTTAGCCCCTGTACCCCCAAAT